TTCCAAAAAGGACGATTAATCAGATGGCAACTAGAATTGCATCAATATGAACCATATATTAAATATATTAAGTCAGCAAACAATTGTTTTGCAGACACTCTAACAAGAGAATGGAAGGAATAATCAAGGCAATTCAGAATCAGATCAGTCAAAAAGACAACCAGATCAAGACTATTCAGGAAAATCTCTCAAAACTCTTTGAGGAGAGAGAGGAGTTGATTAAATCCTTGAACATCATCATAAAAGCAACTGGTGGAACACCAGTAGAAGAAGACCAAAAACAAGAACATACATCCTTCTTGGGAATTCTTCAAATATTTTCATTGAATCAGTATAAATACTGTCGACTAATCCATGTTGAAGATAATTAAAGGCTAGTAATGGGTTGGCTTCTCCGATGAAGATAGCCTTTGGTCCAGTTCTGGTCATTTTTGGGTAAAAACCCATGGTGGTGTGTTTTTCTTTGTAGTCCACTAGGGATGCCCAGTAGGACTGGTATTTCTCGAGGGTGACCTTTTTCATGGCCTCCTTTTCTTGTGTGGTTGGTATTTGGGCTATTCTGGGTATTTTCATTGATGGTAGTTGGGCTTTTGGTTCGACTGGTTGTTTTTGGGCCATAGTCTTGTAGGATTCGTTTAAGGCTTTTTGGGCCTCTTCTTTGGTTTGGAAAGTTTGGTGTGAAACCTTCTTTCCGTTGGTATGTTGCGAAAAGATCGCGTAGTCTTCGTATACTCCTCTGAATGGTCCACTAAAGATAGCGTACCATTTGTTTGATTTTTCTTTTAGAGAGCTCATATTTATACAACTTTGGAACCCTATCGGTTAGGATAAGAATCTCAAACCGGGGCCCGACTTACACACATGGCATTACATAATTATACAATAAAGATTACAGAGATAAGGTTCATGATAACCTTATCTTTTATTGGGGCCTATTGCCGACAATATTATTTCACATGGTCACTAGTCCTTATCACCTTTAATCACGCGTCTGCCGATTCTTCTGATGGTGGTTGGCTGTTTCTTTTCATTTTGTCCTTTAGTTCTTTGCAGATAGTGCATTTGTGATCATCATACCTCATCAGGAAGCTGCAGAGCTGTTCCTTGATGGATTCTTCTAATCCTGCGAATTTTCCTTCTAAGTGATAGAAGTCTAATTCGAAATCTGCTACTGCTTGCATTTCTTCCTTTGAAATGGTCGAATTGTTATAGGTGATGACTAATACGTTACTGCTGGCATAGTTGACTTTGATTTCTGAATCCGCAAGGATTCTTCTTGATGCCTTGAATACTTCCAATAATGAGTGAGCTTCCAGGTCATCTGGAATCTCATATTCTGATGCATCGTCTCTTGAAGGCAAATCTCCTTTTGCCACTCCAAGGTGTATTACAGCCTGAGACTGTATGATCTTATCTTTTCCGAAGATCGGGATTGAACTTTTAATCTTCATGAAGATGGTTCTTTCTTTTGCGAATCGTTCGAAATAATTCCTGATAATTGGTTTCATCCTTCTTGGGAATTCTTCAAATATTTTCATTGAATCAGTATAAATACTGTCGACTAATCCATGTTGAAGATAATCAAAGGCTAGTAATGGGTTGGCTTCTCCGATGAAGATAGCCTTTGGTCCAGTTCTGGTCATTTTTGGGTAAAAACCCATGGTGGTGTGTTTTTCTTTGTAGTCCACTAGGGATGCCCAGTAGGACTGGTATTTCTCGAGGGTGACCTTTTTCATGGCCTCCTTTTCTTGTGTGGTTGGTATTTGGGCTATTCTGGGTATTTTCATTGATGGTAGTTGGGCTTTTGGTTCGACTGGTTGTTTTTGGGCCATAGTCTTGTAGGATTCGTTTAAGGCTTTTTGGGCCTCTTCTTTGGTTTGGAAAGTTTGGTGTGAAACCTTCTTTCCGTTGGTATGTTGCGAAAAGATCGCGTAGTCTTCGTATACTCCTCTGAATGGTCCACTAAAGATAGCGTACCATTTGTTTGATTTTTCTTTTATCTTGATATCAGTAGGAAGTGTAACCTGATCTAATCCTTTTGTTGTATGTTCTTGCTTTTCGTCTTCTTCTACTGGTGTTCCACCAGTTGCTTTTATGATGATGTTCAAGGATTTAATCAACTCCTCTCTCTCCTCAAAGAGTTTTGAGAGATTTTCCTGAATAGTCTTGATCTGGTTGTCTTTTTGACTGATCTGATTCTGAATTGCCTTGATTATTCCTTCCATTCTCTTGTTAGAGTGTCTGCAAAACAATTGTTTGCTGACTTAATATATTTAATATATGGTTCATATTGATGCAATTCTAGTTGCCATCTGATTAATCGTCCTTTTTGGAATTCTGGTTGTATCTTATACCTCCAGAACCCTGTTACATATTGTGAATCAGTTCGTAATTCGAACCGAGTTTGTAGGAGATCAATTTTCCATTTCTTCAAGGTTCGAAGACACGCAAGTGTTTCGAGCTCGTGAATTGGATAATTCATCTCTGTTCGTGAGAATGTTCCTGAGATATATTTGCATAATATTGTTTTTTGTTTCTCAGTTTTTGGTACTTCATTATTATTAGTACGACCATATTGGTCAAGATGGAGTAATTCTTTTCCATCCTTTATTGCTAGCATGCATCCTGCCCAAACTTCTTTGGATGCATCTGTTTCAATAATCAAAAAGTCTTTGGTCGTTGGATTGTATAATTTTGGTAATATCTTTATATTTTCTTTTATATGTTTTACTAAATTTGTATCTTGATTAGTCCAAGACCATGGTATTTTGTCTGATATTTTCTTTTGTAATTGTTTTCGTTCTTTTGCTAGGGATTTGAGGAATCCCTGCTCGGAAACATAGTTAAGGCACCCAAGGAACCTTTGTATTTGTTTTCTGTCTGTTAATTCGTTAGGAAATTGTTGTATTTTTTCATGTACATTATTTGTTAGTTCAATTTCTCCGTTATTATTTATTTTTAAACCAAGATATTCAATTTCTTGTTGTACTAATTTTGATTTCTTTTTAGAAATAATTAATCCTTTTTCTTTGCATCGTTCTAGAACAGTGATTAATTTTTCAGTGTGTTCTGATTGTGATCCGTTTGTAAATATTATGATATCATCAATGTATGCTAGGCAATATTCTTCTAATCCACGGAGATTTCTATCCATGAATTGTTGGTATATTGCTGGTGCTTGTTTTAATCCGAATGGAAGAACATTCCATTCATAATGTTTTTGTGGGGGGCATGAGAATGCCGTTAATGGCTTTGTTTCTTCTGATAATCGAAGCTGCCAATATCCTGATTTAGCATCAACACCGCTCAACCAGTTTTTACCATTTCTTCTTTCGAGAATATAATCTTTTCTCGGTAATTTATAACTATTCCCAATAGTTGCTTCATTTAATTTTTTATAGTTTATTACCATTCTTCTTTTTCCTCGTTTTATCTCATTATTATTTTCTACATAGAAAGCTGGAGCCGAATGTGGACTCGTGCTTTCTCGTATAATCTAGTAGTTCTTTACATTCTTTGGTGAATTCTTCCACATCTCTGTGGGTATATTGCATTTTATTTGGTACATTAATTTCATCTTCGGGGTTTTTTAGTTTTATTACTATTAATTCTTCATTTGTATTTTTTATATCTAATGGATTATCACTACATATTTCATCAAGTTTTTGTTCAATATGAGTCATACTTATAAATGTTAGTCTGTTTTTTAAATCTTCTATAATAGATTTTATTATTTCATTTTTTGTTATTATTTTTGTCGTAACTAATTCTGATTTTTGGTTTTCTATTTTAGGTGCTTTCAGGCTGACCGTTTTTATTCTCTGTATAAATGGTTGATATAATTTTAGAAAATTATTTCCTATAATTATATCTAATCCAGAATCATGTTGATATATTGTTTTTGCTGGAAATATTTTAGTTTCTATA